CTCACCTCCTCCACCTTCTCTCAGTAAATAGATTGCCTTTGGGGGCTGTGCCACCACCAAAGGTCCCACTGAGGAAAAGCAGTTACTTCATCAAGAAAGTGGAGTTGAAACTGGTAGCTCATACCTATAATCCTAGCTATTACTCAGGAGGCTGAGATTTGAGGAGCGTGGTTAAAATCCAGCCTGGGCAGGAGAGTTCATGAGATTCTTTTTGTTGTTGTTGCTGGTGGTGGTGGGAATTGAACTCTGGGCCTGAGTGCTGTACCTCAGCTCTTCAGCTCAAGGCTAGCACTCTATCACTTGAGCCACAGAGCTACTTCCGGCTTTTTTCTGCTTATGTGGTGCTGAGGAATCGAACCCAGGGCCTCAAGCATGCAAGGCAAGAACTCTACCACGGAGCCACCTTCCCAGCACCCCCCCCCCCTTTTTTTAAATTGTTAGTCATGGGGCCTAAACTCTGGGCCTGGGCACTGTCCCTCAGCTCTTCAGCTCAAGGCTGTGACAAAAAAACTGACAAAAAACAACTGACAAAAAAGAAAGAAAGAAAAAAGAAAAAAGAGTCTTACAGACTTTCCTGCCTGGGCTGGCTTTGAATCATAATCCTCAGATCTCAGCCTCCTGAGTAGCTAGGATTACTGGCAGCGCCCAGTAGTTCATGAGATTCTTATCTCTGAGAAACCACCAGAAAACGGGAAGTGGTGCTGTGGCTCAAGTGGTAGAGGACTAGCCCTGAGCAAAAGAAGCTCAGAGATAGTGCCCAGGCCCCAAGTTCAAGCCCCTGACCAACAAAAATAAAGCGGGGGGAGGAGTACCTGGGGAACACACTGCTTTCTGAGGGGAAAAAGATGAGGACAGAATTCCCTCTTTCTGCATGAATTAATCCTACTTTTCCAGACAGCGCCAGAGAGAGAATTCCCAAGTGCCCCTCTTTGCTGATCTAACACCTCCTTGCCAGGACCAAAACTTCAGTGTCCCCACTCCCTGTTCCCCACATGGGCCTCCCAGCAGTTCTCCTGACCAGGAAAGGCTCAGGCAATCCACTCTGGGTTTAGAGTCCTTGTGGACGAACCCAAACATGGTGCCCTTTGTGTTAGATGCGCAGCTACTGCACATGCAGACAGACAGGTCCATGGGCCAGCGCCAGCATCAACTGCTGTCACTCCATCATTTATCAGCTTCTCAAACATGTACAGACTGTCGGCTACTGGGTCCTCGCTGTACCCTCCAATCTTGCATCAAGGTTGACACTCCAACTCTCAGAAAGGTTTTTTAGGGCTTCAACTTAGGGCCTTGTACTTGCTGGGCAGATGCTATACTACTTGAGCCATACTTGAAGCACCTTTTTTGCATTGGTTATTTTTGAGGTAGGGTCTAACTTTATGCCCATGCCATCCTGGGTTTGTGTCCTTTTACTTATGCTTCCTTGTGTCACTAGGGAAGACAGGTGCCTGACAAGGTGTCCAACCATTGTTCTTCTGCAGCTGGGATACAGACGTGTGCTTCCATACCTTAGCCATTGTTAGAAAGCTTTTTGCCCAATGCTGACCTTGAACCTAAAGCCCCTGATCTCTGCCTCCCAAGTAGTAAGGGTTATAAGCTTGAGCCACTACATCCAGCTTGGACAGTTTATTTGTAGTGTCTGTTATTATTGTTTTTTAAAAGGAGTATACAGGTTCTCACTATGTAGCCCAAGTGGACTAGAACTCTCAATCCTCTGCTTCAGCAATCCAAATGTTGGGATTACATGCATACATCACCAAGCCCTACTTAAATGTTGTTTTTACTTAATTTGAAAGTTACAGAAATATTGTAGAATAAAGAATTCTTATACATTATTCAGGGTCACCAATATATTCCTCTTACTGCAACTCCCGCCGCCCCCTCTCGCCAGTCCTGGGGCATGGACTCAGCCTGAGCAATGTCCCTGAGCTTCTTTTGCTCAAGGTTAGCACTCTTACCACTTGAGCCATAGTGCCACTTCTGGCTTTTTCTGTTTATATGGTACTGAGGAATCGAACCCAGTGCTTCATGCTTGCTAGGCAAGCACTCTACCACTAAGCCACATTCCCAGCCCCCTCCCCTTTTCCCTCTTTGTACACATTCGTGTACTTACACATATGTGTGTATATATACATGTGAACTCATGTATGTATCTACAGCTATTCATTCTTCTCTGAGCCATTTGAGAGTAAAGTGTGGATGGAACCTTGCTGTGCTTTCCTAAGAACAAAGATAAATTTTCCCACATAAAAGATGCGGTACAGTTATAAAAATTAGAAAAATTAAATATTGGTAGCATGCTATGATTTAATTCACAATCCATGTTCCAATTTCATCAACTAATGGCTATTTTTCCCAGTCCAGGAAACAATCCAACGTCATAAATTGCATGATGTTGTCAAGTCTTTTATTTTTGTATTCTATTTTATTCTAGAATAGTTGCTTAACTTTTCTTTTTCTTTCTTATATTCAACATATTCAACACTTTTTTTTTTTTGGTGGTATCAGACCTTGAACCCAGGACTTGAACTTGCTCCACTGGTGCTTTACCACCAGTCCTATTGTTTGTTGGTTATTTTGGAGATGGAGTTTGGTGGACTTTCCTGGAAGGCTGACCTTGAACTAGACTCCTCTGGATCTCAGCATCCTGAGTAGCTAGATGATAGGCACCAGGATTCAACTTTTCTTTTTAAAGAGCAGAATTTGTGTCTATTTGCGTTTGGCTATTGTTTCCTCATGATGAGATTCAAGGTACATTCTGCGGCAGGAATGTAGTATCACGGAGTCAGTATGGTCCTCTGAGTGCAGAACATTAGGATGTATATGGCTCTGGTTTATGATGACTCAGATTTGGAGTGACTATTGTGGCTTTGAACTTTCTGCCCTTCCGCACATGAATAGATGCTTCCTATCTTTGGTTTCTCATGCAACCGTGGTAGACAAAAGGGACTCACACTGGCCTTCACACAACCTTTGGGACAATGAACACATGGCTCCTCCACCCCCCTCATTCGAGCCAGCCGCCTACCAGCTCCCAAGAAACAAGGCTACTGCTAATCATCCACTGACTATAGGCTTTTAAATGAGCCCAGACAAAAACGGCCAAAAAGCAACATATGTGGATGGTCCCACAAAATTGTGGCTAACTAAATCGTTTGTTTAAATCATTAGATTTTGGGCTGGTATACTGCATCCAAAAGTGAACTGATGCCTTTTATCTACCAAAGGAAAGTGATAGGAATCATAGTCACTTGAGATCTACTCAAGAAACATAGTCTCCTGTTTTTCTTCTGGCTCTGTCCTGTCTCTCTCAGAGATCTGACTCTTTATGTTTGACACTTACATGGTTTTTAAAAATGATGGATCTTGCTGTCCTAGAGTCTTTCCAAAAACCAAGTCATGAACTCAGAGCCTTGTGTGGTTGCTTCATTTGCTCTCTTATGCATTACCACTTGAATCAGACCTTAGTTCAGCCTTTTGCTGGTTAATTGGGTATGAAGTCTTGTGGACTTTTCTTGCCTAGGCTAGCCTCAAATTGATCCTCTGGATCTCAGCCTGCTAAGGAGCTAGGATTACAGGTGAGTTAACAGCTACAAGGCAATATTTTTGGTTAATTAATTGAACAGACCAAGAGACTCTTCCACGAAAACGAAGAGTCCTTCCTGGGCAGAGAGCCCACAGAGAAGAGAGGCCTATTAAATAAGCACCTGACATGTATCTTCCTGAGCCTTTGTGCTTAGCATCACTTTTGTACTACCAGCTCCTCTGACTTCTTCCCTGGAGAGAAGGATTTGAGCATCTGGATACAGCCTGAGGATTTGTACTTTTAACAAGTTCCTCTGGTATTCCCAATGATTAGAGAAACCCTGCTTTATAAAAGTAGCTCTCGACCCAGGCTTCATGTTAAAAATTACCAGGGTTTTTTTAAACCCTCAATGCCCAGAACATTTAGGTTTTTCTAGGGCTGGCACCCAGGCGTCAGTTATTATTTTTTTTAATACTTCCCAGATGAGTCCAGTGTGCAGCCAAGTAGAACCTGCATGGATGCCTATAACCCATGAATAAGAAGAAACTGGTCTTTTCTCCACCCTCATGAATGGACCCCTTCACCGGCATGTGTTTTTGATCATGACGGTATACTTATTTGGGTGCATAGGAAATGCTGTCCGGAGACTTCTTTATGGTTTTCTTCCCACCACTCAGCTGATTTTCCAGAAGAGAGGTGAAATTTTCCTTTTTAGGACCAGATTCCTAAATCCTATAAATTTTCTTTTTGGGTAAAGGTGTGTGTGTGTGTGTGTGTGTGTGTGTGTGCATGCGTGCGTGTGTGTTTTCTTTTGAGCATATGAAGTGAGATTTGAGCACAAGCTGTGAGCACCAGCAGCTGTAACAGATGTTGACCTGTCCTTATTCCCTAGGGACCCAGTTGGTTCCCACACACCAGCTCCTGGAGGGCACCTCTGCCTCTGTTAGAGGGGTAGCACTCAGGCTACCAGAACCTTTGCCTAGGTTGCCAATGGCTAATGGTGCAGTACTGAGGAATAAGTACCCCAGCTTCCTCACCCTCAATGAGGAAAACCATAGTTATATGACCCATCTCCAGAAATTCCCTGAGAAACCAGACCAGAGTTACTCTCTCCTCACCCACTCTGCTTACTAATGCACCTTTGCTTGGCTGCCTTTTCTTTCCTGTCCAATTCTATACGTCTGGATTGGCTTTTCTCTGGAGGATCTGTCTTGTTTTGTTTGCTTGGGTTTTTTGTTTGGTTGGTTGTTTTTGGTATCAGCACCAGGCTTGAACTCAGGTCACTGCATTCTCACTTGGCTTTTTTTGCTCAAGGCTGTCACTTGACCACTTGGAGCCATACTTCCTGGAGGACTTCTGGACAACACTTGCTCAGAGAATCCTTAGCTCCAGGTCTTCTTGTAGAGAACTAGACGTAAGCCATCCATGCCCAGGATCACACCCCCAGGACCTGTAGAAAGACTGTGGCACTGACCTTCATCCTTAACACAAAGAGCGTTGTATGTGCCGCCGGGAGCTGGGTGGCTCTCAATTCTCACTTCCACAGCTCTCATGACTTGCTCTTCACTGCTCCCTTTGCTACACACGGTCGTCCTGAAACAAGGAGGACAGTGGGTGAGGATCCGCCACTGGGTTGAAACAAACCCCCTCTGTACCTCACCTTTACCATAACAACAGACATTTTTACAAATGGGAAAGAATCATTTGTTTTCTGCCTTCACTTCTGAATTAGCCCTGATTTTGCTGCTTCATAAGCTTTGGTGGAAACCATCAATATGGACACATACTCTCTCAACAAAGGCCTAGAAGACAGACAATGCTGGAGGTGAAGTCAGAAGGCATATGTATCAATTCAAGTTTCAGAGGAGAGAGAGAGAGAGGGAGAGATATTGCCTTACCCTCCCTAACTCCCCCAGTACTGGGGTTTGAATTTAGAGTTCTGGGCTTGCTCTACTTGCTTATTCAACTTAACTTGTTTGTATTCACTTGCATTTTACCATTTAGGCTATACCTCCTGCCTTGTTTTTTCACTCATTATTTTGAGATGGAGTCTAGCACACTTTTCTGCCCAGGCTAACTTTGAACCATGATCCTCTGGAGCTTAGATTCCTGAGTAGCTAGGATTATGAATGTTAGCCACTGGTGCTCAGCTTGGCAATATATAATTGACCAATTCTAGTACATGGATTTTTTTGTTGTTGTTTTTGTTGTACATTGTAAAAATTTACCACCAGGTTCTGGTGGCCCACACCTGTAATCCTAGCTACTCAGGAGGCTGAGATCTGAGGATCCTAGTTCAAAGCTAGCCAGGGCAGGAAAGTCTGTAAGACTTTCATTTTTAATTAACCACCAGAAAATTGGAAGTGGAGCTGTGGCTCAAAGTAGTAGAGCACTAGCCTTGACCAGAAAACTCAGGGACAGTGACCAGGCCCTGAGTTTAAGTCCCATAACTGGTGAAAAAAAAAATCAATCAGTTGAGTTTTTGAAAGGTTTGGTTTAGCAAGGTACAAAAAGACTAAAAAATTCTTAAAATAATAGAAATTCCTTTAAGCTACTGAACAGAACTTCAAGTAAATTGTCTCTTACTCTAGGTATAACACTGCTCCTCCCCTCCCCAAGTAATTTGCCTAAATATTTCAAAGGGCTTTTGTTAGGGATTTTCTTTCTGGCTTATATAGTGATATAGAGAGTAGATTTTATTATATCTCTACACATTTATACTACATTCTAAGCAATTTTACCCCTGTGCTACATTCCCTGCACCCTTCCCTCTAAGAAAGTGTCCCCAATAGGTTCCCTTGGTCCATTTTCATAATTGTTAGTAGTCTATTTTGATGGTATTCAATCTTTTTCTTTTTTTTTTTTCTTTCTTTTGCTAGTCCTGGGGCTTGAACTCAGGGCCTGGACACTGTCTGTGAGCTTCTTTTGCTCAAGGCTAGCACTCTACCACTTGAGCCACAGCACCACTTCTGACTTTTTCTGTTTATGTGGTGCTGAAGACTGGAACCCACAGCTTTATGCATGTGAGGCAAGCACTCTACCATTAAGCCATATGCCCAGCCTCAATCTTTTTTTATCCTCCCTCAGGCATACCCCCTTGGGCTGGTTCCTATGCACCCACAGATTGATAGACGTAGGTGTAGTCTGTTTCTTTTTCTATTCTCCTCAATCTGGACACTTTCTAAATAAGAGAGGTTCCTTTTCTTTCTTTTTTAAAAATTTTATTGGCCATGGAACTTGAACTCAAGGCCTGGGCACTGTCTGAGCTTTTATCCTCAAGGATCCTCTTCCACTTTTTTTTTTTTTTTTTTGGTCGTTCATAGGGCTTGAGCTCTGGGCCTAGGCCCTGTCCCTGAGTTCTTCAGCTCAAGGCTAGGGCTCTACCACTTGAGCCACAGCACCACTTCCGGTTTTCTGTAGGTTAATTGGAGATAACAGTCTCATGGACTTTTCTGCTTGGGCTGGCTTTGAACCACAATCCTCAGATCTTACCTCCTGAGTGGTTAGGATTACAGGCATGGGCCACGGGTGCCTGGCTTACTCTTCCATTTTGAGCCACAGCTCCACTTAGAGTTTTAGTTGGTTAACTGAAGATAAGAGTCTCAGGGATTTTTCTATCCTGGCTGGCTTCAAATCACAATCCTCAGATCTCAGCCTCCTGAGTAGCTAGGATTATAGGTGTGAGCCACCAATGCCTGACTGAGAGGCTCATTTTCAAGCCACACACTTACTCACTTTAGCTAAGGATAGCTAAAACTTACCAACAATGGTTTTATGTTAACACATTACTGTTTTTTAAATTATCTTTAAGTATTTGTGCAAAAGGGTTTCAATTCAACATGTCACTTTATAAGTACAATACATCTTAATCAATATCACCTAATCTTTGTTTTCTAATAGGCATGTCATCTATTTATATTTGATTTAATCACCAATCTCTTTGGATTTCAATCTGCCATCTTATAAATGCTTTCTATCAATTCCATCCATCAGTCTTCTCATCATATGCTTTCTTTGATCTGATTTTGGGTTACTTGGATTGGAGAGGGGTATTCTCTTTTTCCTTTGTATTGATTTGAAAGTTAATTCATTCTTTTATTATTCTTTCAGGTAGAACCAATAGGTTTATAACATGATTCTCGGACTTATTAAAATTTAATATTATTGCCATTTTCTTTCCCAATAATACAACTTAAAATATGTAAATATATTTAAAATGCTTCCTGCCTAATATACTATCCCATCATGTAGAATTATTAGTGCCCCATTCATTTTTTTTCACATCTCCCTCCTTCCATAGCCCTATTGTCCTGCTGCCTGCAGAGCGACCTCCAAGAGTTTCAATGAATAATTATTATCTGAGACAGGATAGAGGAAAACTCACTTTATGCATATCTGCATAAGTTTTACAACCCATATATATTATTTTGCAATTTAAATTCAAAATAACGAAGTAAAGGGTGGTGGGAAAACACTGCAGCAAAACTCCAAAAAATGCTTTTTTAATTTTTAATGTTTTGTATTGGTCCTAGGGCTTGAACTCAGGGTATAGGTGCTGTCCCTGAGCTTCTTGTGCTCAAGGATAGTACGCTACCACTTGGACCACAGCCCTACTTCTGGCTTTTCCTGAGTAGTTAATTGGAGATAAGAGTTTCACATACTTTTCTGCCTGGGCTGGCTTCAAACTGCCACCCTCAGATCTCAGCCTCCTGAGTACCTAGGATTACAGGCATGAGCCACCAGTGCCTGGCTGAAAAAATGCTTTTTTACAAAAATTCATAATGAGAACATCGTGGAAACCAGCCACGGTTCCACTTTGCCTATCCTAGTACTCTCACATAATTACTAAGCAACTATAAAAGCCTTGGTAGGGCAGCTGCCTTGACTTACCCAAGAGTGCCATCTTCTAGCCACCCCGTGGTACACACGGTGAAGGTGCAGTCCCGGACCACCCGCCTCAGCTCTTCTGCAGAACCCAGGTGAGCACCCTTGCTCTTGCAGGAAAGCCGAGCCTCCTCCAGGTCCAGTCCCTGAGAGCCATTCTGAGACTCCAGCACGAAGAGCTTGCCTGCAGGCAGACAAGCACAAACAGGGAGACTGGAGATCCTTGGAAAGTGCATCTTCACTGTCTGGCAGATACACACCAGAACCATAGCTCCAAACTGCATCAAGACCCAAATGTTGCACATGACCATTGCATATAGCTGTGGGACCAGATGACAATGATTATACTGGGGTTTTCTTTCTGTTGTACTGAGAATTGAAGCCAGAGCCTTGGGCTTATAGGACTATCATTCTAACACTTAACCCACACCACTAGCCTACCTTGAAGTTTTTATTCATTTTTTTCTCTCTCTTTTTTTTTCTTTGTTTTGGCTGGTCATGGAACTTGAACTTAGGGCCTGGTCTCTGTCCCTGAGCTTTTTTGCTCAAGGCTAGTGCTCTACCACTTTGAGCCACAAAAGCACTTCCAGGTTTTTGATAGTTAATTGGGTATAAGAGTCTCATAGACCTTTCTGCCCAGGCTAGCTTCAAGCCACAATCCTCAGATCTCAGTCTCCTGGGTAGCTAGTATTACAGGCATGAGCCACCAATGCCCGGCTTGGTTTTTTGATTGTTTTATTTTTTTTCTTATGATAGGATCTTGCTATTTTGCCCAGACTATCCTCATGAGTCAAACCATCCTCCTGCCTCAGCCTCCTGGTAGCTGGGGAAACACAAAGTTTACCACAACTCTTGCCTTGCTTGCTCTTTTTTTTTTTCTGATCCTGGGGCTCAAACTCTAGGCTCAAGCTGAACTTGCTGTCCCTGAACTCCTTTTTGCTCAAGGCTAGCACTCTACCACTCAGCCACAGTGCTGCTTCCGGCTTTTTCTGTGATTAATTAGAGATAAGAGGGTGGCTTTGAACCATAATACTTAGATCTCAGCCTCTTGAGGAGCTAGGATTATAGTCATTCACCTAGCTTGCTTGCTCTTCTTTAAGAAAAGACAGAAACAAAACAAAACAAAAAAAAACCCAACAAAATGCTAGCCAAGTGCTTATGGCTAACACTGGCAAACCTAGCTACTCAGAAGACTGAGATCTGGGGGGCTGTGATTTTGAAGCCAACCTGGGCAGAAAGATCCCAAAACACCTATAATTATGCAGAAAAAAAGAAAGAAAGAAAGAAAGAAGGAAAGAAAGGCTGAGCTGGTGCTATTTGCTTATACCTGTAATCTTAAGCTACTCAGGCAGCTTAGATCTGAGAATCAAGATTTGAAGCCACCCTCAGCAAGGAAGTCCCAAAGATTCTTTTCTCCAATTAACCACACATGCACAAAAAAGCCAGAAGTGGTGCCATGATTCAACTGGTAAAGCACCAGTCTGGAGTGAAAAAAGCCAAGGGACAGCGCATAGGCCCAGGACCTGAATTCAAGCCCAATGTGTACATACACGTACACACACACACACACACACACACACACACACACACACACACACACACACACAGAGCTGGACTACAGGTATGATCCAAGTTGTAGAGCATTAGCCATGAATGAAAAAAGCCAAGTGAAAGTACAAGGCTCTGAGTTCAAGTCCTGATACAGCACAAATTAACAAATGAATGAATAAAATAACAAGCTGGCTCTGCTCTGATGTGCTATGTAGATCAGCCCTTCAAATGTTTCTTTTAAAAAGAGGTGGCCAGGGGCAGTTCTAGGTCCCCTCTGAACTGGGCCACTTGGTGTTCAATGATGCAGGCAAGCCTCGGCTCTTTCTTCTTCTGCCCCGAGGCCTGGGGTAATTACCTACACAGCTGGTTGTTGCCCTTCTCTCTCCCCCTTGCTGTGTTTACTGAACAAGCATCAGAATTCATAGATAACAAAGCCTTCAGCACTTTGAGATTTGAGTAGAGAGTGGGCCTCAAAGAACGTGCACTAGGAATTAGAATGCAAACCCAGGCAAGGTAAAACTCAGGAAGAAAACTAGTGCCAAGGGTGCCTCTGACCCCACAAGCCTCATGGAAGAAAAAAGCAGTCCCTTAAGTGGACCTATCAAATTGAAGGTAAAGGCAGGGAAGATAGAAAAAAACATTAGGCCAGGCACCAGTGACTCATACCTATAATCCAAGAGGTTGAGAGCTGAAAGCATCACAGTTCTGAGTGAGCCTGGGCAGACATTCCCAGAGACTCTTTTCTCCTGTAATCTTAAGCTTAATAATCAGCAAAAAAAAAGAAAAAGAAAAAACCTAACAGAACTGGAGGCATGGCTCAAGTTGTAGACCACCAGTGATGAGTGAGAACGTGCTATAGCTTGAAGCCCTGAGTCCAAGCCCTAGTACTAACACCAAAACGAAATGAAACAACAAACATGGGAATAACATACTTTATCTGTCAGCATTTCTTTTTACAATGTATTGATTTTATTAGAATTAAAATCTTGGGCTGGAGGCATGGCTCAAATGGTAGAGCACCTGGCTACCAAGCACAGGCCCTTGAGATAAACTACAGTACTAGGTGGGCACCAGTGGCTACTCAGGAGGCTGAGATCTGAGGACTGAGTTTCAAATCCATCCTGGACAAGAAAGTCCATGAGGCTCTTATTCTCAATTAAGCAGCAAAAAGCCAGTACCAGCCTTGAGTGGAAAAAGCTTAGCATCCAGACCCTGAATTCAAGCCCCAGTATGGGCAAAAAGAGAAGAACAACAAAAAACAAACAAAAACACAATATCATTAAATTTTAAAAAAGGATAAGATACTTACAAGTGATGTTAAAATGTACATATATTTATATACTTATATTTATAAATATATATAAATAAAAATAAAAATAAAGTGATGTTCAAATTTACATACACACACAGACACAGACACAGACACACACATACACACACACACACACACACACACACACACACACACATTTAGCCAGTCCTGAGGCTTGAACCCTGAGCCTGGGTGCTTTTCCTAAACTTCTTTTGTTCAAGGCTAACATTCTACCACTTGAGCTACAGTGCCACTTCTGGCTTTTTCTAAGTAGTTTATTGGAGATCAGTCTCCTGAGCTTTTCTGCCTGGGCTGGCTTTGAATCATGATCTTCAGATCTTGGCCTCCTAAGTGGCTAGGATTATAAGCATGAGCCACCAGAACCTGTCTTGCTTTACACCATATTCTATGGTGTGTTAGCATTATCCTCATTTTATAGATAAGGCTTAGAATTAACATTTGTTCAAGATCTCATAGCTGAGATGCAAAACCAGGTAGTTTGGCTTACTCTTGTGTGATGCTAATTATTGTGTTACATTGACTCTCAAAAACAAAGTGATAATGAGGAAAATCCCCTAGTGCATGCAAATTATAAAATATACTGCAACATGAACCACATAGTCAAAGAAGCAACTACAGCTAAAATAAAACACTGTAAACGAAACATCAAACCCTTATGAGCACTCCAGATTTAAGAGAAATTTATAGCCTCCAGGGCTCAATTACCAAAGAAGTGTTCGTTAACATAGCAATGACCTAAGATTCTATCTACATACACATATGTATAAAAAGGACCACATAAATCAAAACTTCCAAAGAAGTATAAAAAATAAATAATATAGAACAGACATCAATGGACTAGAAAGGCAGACAGACAACAGAGAAAATAAACAAAGCCAAAAGTTGTATTTTTCCCCCAAAATAATAATAAAATAAGATTACTCAGAGGAATAATTAGTAAGATTGATCAAGACAAAAAGTGGGAAAGGGAAGTGGAGAGGGGAAAAATTGGGAAAGAATGAGGGAGGGGGGGTATTCGAAAGGAAATGTACTCATTACCTGACTTATGTAACTGTAACCCCTCTGTACATCACTTTTACAATAAAAATTTTAAAAATCTAAAAAAAAAAGACAAAAAGCAAGAAAATAGAAATTGCCAATATCTCCCTCCCCGACAGTATAACCCCTGCTTTCACTATATTTGATGTCAGTATAATTTGTGGAGGAGATGGGGAAAACCAGTTGTTTAAGGATACAGGTGGACCTGTTGCAACAATGAGAAGTACAAGTTGTCATGTCCAAAACGAGCTTTACAACGTCGGTGCCGGGGGGGGGGGGGGGGGGGGGGGGGGGGGCGGGGGGGGGAAGGGGGGAAGGAGAAGGATTGGGATTGGGGGGGAGGGGGGAGGCTGGGAAGGGATGTGAAGGGTAAACCAAAGGAGGAGGCTGCAATGCTTGGTAAGAAATGTACACATTATCCTGCCCATGTAATTGTAACCCCTCTGTACAGTATGTTCACAAATAAAATTAAATTAAATGAAAAAAAATATAAAAAAAAAAGAAATTGCCAATATCAAAGATGAAAGGCAACCTCTCTGTAGCTCCTCAGGATATGTAACTACAGACTATCATGTTATGTATGCCAGCACAATTGATGATTTCGATGAAATGAGCAAATTTCTTGGACAAACGTAACTTAGTCAAACAGACACAAATGAATGAAAACATTTGACAGTTCTTTACTAAAGAAAATAAACTAATTATATAAAATCTTCTCACAAGGGGAAAAAAACCCCAAACACAAATGACTTAACTACCAAAGCAGTCAACCCAACCAGCAAATAAAAAACAAAGCAAAGCTGGGTACCAGTGGCTCACACCTGTAATCTTAGCTACTCAGGAGGCTGAAATCTGAGGGTCACAGTTCAAAGCCAGCCGAAGCAAGAAAGTCTGTGAGACTCTTATCTCCAATTAATCACCAAAAAGCTGGAAGTAGAGATGTGGCTCAAGTGGTAGGGATCTATCCTAGAGCCAAAAAGCTTAGGAACAGCTCCCAGACCCTGAGTTCAAGCCTCAGGATTGGCATCAAAAAGAAAAAAAAAGTTTTATCTTAAAGAAATCCTTTTGGGGTTGGGGGAGGAGTTGGGGAGGTGGGGAGGGAAGGGATGGTAGGGGAAAAAACAAAGAAGGAGGTAACAATACTCAATAGGAAATGTACTCATTACCTTACTCATGTAACTATAACCTTTCTGTACAGTGTTTTTTACAATAAAAACATATATATATATTTTTTTTGGGGGGGGGGTCCAGTCATGAGGCCT